GCAGCACAAATGGAGTTCAGCCCTTTCGAACTCTACGTAGAGAAGACTGGCTTTGCAAACACCATTAACGAGACAGGTATGGGTGTGGTCGCATATTCCCCACTTGCACGAGGTCTAACCACTGGAAGGTATGTCGAGATACAGGCTGAAGTGAGCCGTTGAGTAATGATGGTCGATGCTGTAGGTTTAAATCCCCCGCCGATTTCTCTGAAGACGATGGTAGAAGGGTCTTTCCCAGATTCTCTGAGGAAAATTTCCCAAAGAATTTGAAGATTGTCGATGAGCTTCAAAAAATTGCAGACAAGTACAAGGCCACATCCGGCCAGATAACGCTCGCATGGATTCTTGCAGAGCATCCCAATTGTATGTCCAATATTGCGACTGAGCTCTTAAGAGCTGTGTTATTGACTATGGTACGGTAGTCGTTCCAATCCCCGGAATGCGCAGTATCGAGCGTGGTTGAGGAAAATGCGCTCAGTGCAGAGCTTGCCTTGGCACCGGAGGACGTCAAAGCTATTCGCCTAGTTGTTGAAGCTGCTGAAGTAGCTGGAGAGCGATACCCACCAGGTCGCGTACCTCTAAGCGATTGCATTCTACTGTCGGAATGGAAAGGAGAGACTTGAGAAATTAATGAACGGAGCAGACAAACGTATTTGCAAATGAACATTCCCACAATCAATAGTTCTCCGACTGTCACTTATCTGATAAGAGAATATTTCGATGACTTTGAATGATGTCCTCCCCACAAGTTCTAGCCCTGAACTGGACCCTCGCTCGCTATTAATTCTATATGCTACCGAGACAGGGAATGCACAAGATGTAGCAGATCGTATAGCTCGTCAATGTCGGCGTATAGCATTCCAATGTCGAGTTTTGAGCATCGACGAATTTTCTGCTGTATGTCCTTCAGTTCATCTTTTGTGTCAGCACAACAAACTCAGAAGAAATAACAGCCAGATTTGCTTTCTGAGCCTCTTGTAATCTTTGTCATTGCTACGACGGGCTCTGGTGTCGAGCCACGGTCCATGTCATCGCTTTGGGCCCAACTCCTTCGTTCGGACCTCCCTTCGGATCTGTTTGAGGACCTCTCATTTGCTGTGTTCGGTCTCGGGGATTCTGCCTACGAAAAGTTTTGTTGGTCTGCCAAAAAACTGTCTCGTCGTCTGATCAGCCTTGGTGCGCAGGAGATATGCAAGCGAGGAGAGGGGGATGATCAACATCAACTTGGGTGAGTGTACTTATTTCTTGTGTATGTTTTTTGTCGAAGTTTATCTCTCTATCCACGTCAAGGCTTGATGGAGCTTTTCAATCATGGACAGAGTCTCTATTGATCGCTCTCCTCTCCCTGTACCCTTTGCCACCGGGAACTGAAGTTATACCGGAAACCATAATCCCACCATCTCGTGTTGTCATTCAAGATTTTGAAGAACAAGCTCCTCCGCCATCCCCTGCGATGTCTAAAGCTCAGATTGATGATCCGCTTCAGACTGACGATGCGTTTCATACGGCCACTGTGCGTACGAACAAGCGCATCACAACCCACGGTTGGTCTCAAGATGTTCGTCATTTCAATCTCGAATTTAAAGCTGAGGATGAGATACGGTAAGGCTCCTCTAGATGAACTTCGTCAGATAAGAGGGTTGAAGTTTGAACTCACGATAACAGGTACAACCCCGGAGACGTTGCCTTGATCCACCCTGTCGCACCTCCTTCTGAAGTTCAAGACTTCCTTGAGCTTTTACACTGGGATAAGATCGCTGATGTTCCCATCACTATCACACGAACCATGGAAGGTATGAAACATCAACGCTGTGTCAGTTATCATTGACAATCCATTTAGACCAGTCTCTTCCTGATCATCTTCCGCTTCATCCGCAAAAGACAACTCTTCGTACAATTCTCTCAAAGCACGTTGACTTCCGTGCCGTACCACTACGCGTCTTCTTCCAGTATCTCCGTTATTTCACGACGGATGAGCGCGAGGTGGAGATACTTGATGACTGGCTAAGCCTGGCGGGTGCAGTACGTTCTTTTTCGTTGCAGTGAACTTGCGTAATATCTTTTCCAGGACGACATGTATGAGTATTGCTATCGCCCCCGAAGAACAATATATGAAATCATGACTGAGTTTCGCAACGTACGCATTCCGAGAGACTATGTGTTTGACGTTCTACCTCCCCTTCGACCACGTCAGTTCTCTATCGCCAGCTCATCTAAGGTGAGCCTATACGCTTTTTCTATATCGTGTCTTGCACAATCCCCTAAACATTGCCGAAGAAACACCCCAATTCTATACAGCTGTGCATTGCGATTGTCAAATACCGTACAATGTTGAAGGTTCCACGTCGTGGAATTTGTACGTCGTATCTCGCAGGCCTGAAACCGGGTACTTGTTCCATTTGTTGCTTTTTGCCCTTGCTGAGATGTGAACGATCATTTTAGGTGATACGCTGCGCGTAGGGATCCAGAAGGGCTTTATCACTTTGCCAATCAGCCCCGGTACGCCTGTCATTTGTGTTGGCCCCGGAACCGGCGTTGCTCCTATGCGCGCGCTGATCCAGGAACGTGTTCACAACGGATCATCTTGTACGTCTCCCTCCCTTCAGTTCTGTTCTCCAGGTCACCTGTCTGATGAGTTTCACAAGTGAACTACCTCTACTTTGGATGCCGGTCTGCCACACAGGACGAACACTATGCCTCGGAGTGGGCTGATCTTGTTGCTCGCCAACAACTCACATATCGCGTAGCCTATTCACGCGATGGGAAGGAAGGCGAGCTCCGTGTGTACGTGCAAGATCGTATACGAGAGGACGCGAAGCAGGTGTGGAGGCTGCTGAAGGATGGTGCTTGGGTATACATTTCTGGGTATGTGTATTTGTTTCGTATCAGATCAACTGGAGCTAAGAAATGTTTCGGCTTAGTTCCTCAAATAAAATGCCGACGGCAGTTAAAGCTGCTCTTGCTGAAGCAGTCGAGAAAGAGGGAGGCTTTGAGAAAGAGGCTGCAGTGAAATATGTGAATGATATGATGCGTGATGGGCGGCTGTGGGAGGAATGCTGGAGCTAAGCCCATCTGTATACTCATATAATTGACCCCCACAGAATTTATCTTGCGTGGTAGATAAATGAAGTGAAATCATTTTCGTTAAGTACGGCAGAAAGCAACCTGACTACAATCAATCGAATTCGAAAGAATAATACCATGATTAACTCGGTCAATTGACAGTAATTAGCTCGTCAAATACTGTATCGGAATCTACCTATACATTAAGGGATCTTTCTGCTATTTGCCAAGCGGCCAGTGATATACTGTGCATGGGAATCTGCTTGACTAATTCTATCCCCAATCCTGAAAAGAATCCGCGCCAGCGTGCATGCGTCCAGATGCGTGTCACAGTTTCTCAAAAGCCAATCATCCTTTCGGGAGAGCCGGCGTCGCTTGCCTGTTGAGTACGACGAATAACCTCTAATGGGTAAGTTGCCACTTGAGCAACAGTTCCTGAAATTGCACCAATGACAAGATGGATCCGCGTCTGATATGCGTCTAATGTTTCATGGCTGAGTTGTTCGCGTGATTGCGCATTCAATGTTTCCCATATTAAGAAAAATCCACCCTCGATAGGGTACAGTCCTGAGTGCGGAAACAGTAAAACCACGATAGAAGGTCAAAGCTGATAATGGGGAATGACCCCTTCAGTCCAGATAGTGTGTATACGTATTACATTCCATGGACTCGGCCGATGGGAATAATGTTTCGTTTCAATGGCCATACGAACTCGAATCAGCTCGAATGGATAGGTGAAAGGCATAGCCAATATCCCTGTCACGTTGTAACAATAAGTTCACATAGGATAGGTGGGCGGCTGACCAGTGATAGCCCCAGCCAGAAGCCGTTTAAAGGGTGTCTGGGAGTCGCGAATGGGCATTAATATCTATAGCAAACTCTGTTTGGAAACGCAATAGATTATAAGATACAGGACTTACTCGACTTAGTTTTCTTCTCGTAAATTGCGTATCCAATTGCCACATAAGGGATAGCACGGGCAGGTGTCAACTTGTGACCCTATGGTCAGGAGCCGTCAGAGGTATTTGTACACAACTTGAAGGGCATTCCACGTAGCAAACCTGATAATGGCCTCTGAATCTCTGCATTTTCACAATGAGTTGTATTGCATTTACAACACCTCTGCGAGAACCTTCGCAAGGGCTATCTATGGTTACAAAGTTAGGCCCGGAAATGGTGGTTGTTGACTGGTACCTGAGAATCGCCGAAAGTCAGCATTGTGCGTTTGGAACAGGATTTTGATTCGGTCAAAAGGAGCGACAGCAGTCTTCAACACATTCAGGCCCTCAGAATGAGTCTAGTAAAATAGCCTACGGATGGTAAAGCTTCTTACAATTCCACGCGCGAAGCCTCCTGCCAAGGCAGAGCGGATAACAAAATCCCGCAGGATTATCCACCTCCTTCAATGAGTCAGACATGAGCCCCAGAAGAGAAAGTACTTGAGGTATAGATTCCGAATCCTAAAGAGTCAAAAATGCGAAGCAAGCATAGATAATCTCACGTGTTATGGACCCACCCGGACCATGGCCTTTTTAAGGCGTCAAAGTAAATGTTACATAGCGCGGTGAGCCCCGCAGAGCGCGCTACATTTCAGTTGCTTAAGTACGTATTTTTGTCAGCGAACAGTAACTTGGGACGCTGACCTTTCGCGATTAAATTCAGACGTATCATTTAAGAAGGGATTTTACACTTTGCATAGATCCTTAGCGTGCCGCTGTGAGTACTGAGTACTAGAGTATATTCCACAGTCCCAGCTCCTGCGAGAAATGGTGTCTATTAGGAAGGAGGCACGGGAGGAATGAGAGACGTATTTCGACGTGTGACCAGAGCGTGAATTGAGTATCTCGACAAGAAAACTACATACCACTCCGAGCATATGCAATTGACAGCAGTTGTTGTCTCCTGCGAGAAAAAATCAGCAAACCAAATCACTCTAGTGCATTAAGGGGGAATCGAACCCCCGGCGGGTCGATCTAACTTAACCAACGAAGTGGCAACGACCCAGGTTACCACTACCCCATTAATGCATACCATCTAACAGCCATATTACGAACTAGTCCGTAAAGCTCACGGAGCATCAATTCCTGTCAATTATGTAGTGGAAACTCAGTTATAATATAATTACAAGATTAATGTAACAAGAATTTCCAAAAAATTTCAATGTTATATCTGAGGCGGCTGGTATTTTGTTTTCCTCAGATTTATTTACCAATCGTCATCTCAGGCTCAAGCACCTGAGCCTTTTGAATTTTGAATGCTTGTCGGTCTGGGTACGAACAGCCAGGGTTCCCAAGAGATTTCAGAATAAGTACTTATTATGGGACGCAGCTGGGAAGGAAGCTGTGAAGAAAAGACTCATCGATTGGCAAACCATGATCAGAATAGAACAACTCATTTATTTGACTTAGAAGTGAGAAGTATCCATTCACACAGAAACAACTTTGAAAAGACCCAAAAATCTACAGAACTTTCACCAACTTCTCAAAACACTGTTGTGTTGACAGAAAGTATGAAAGAGGGAAATTGTAAGGACACATGCAGTTTCCGGCAACATGTATTTATTACATGATGTCGGCATGATAATATTATGGCTGACTACCTTGCATCTACTGCAGGCCACTGAAAAAAGTGAATTTCGATGTCACAGGGTTGCAGGACCTCGGACACAACTCGGCGTCCACTCCGACCTTTGTAAAAACAGACCTGACCCTGGAGGGCAACCGTAGGACATTACAACCGCCTTACCTCCTTCTGTGCGCCCTAGGCCTCAGCCTCGGCGCTGCCGCAGGTACCGGGATCCTCACCTGCGGCGGTGGTGGCAGCAGTGGCGCAGCAACCATTCCCGCTCCGCCATACAAATTCACGTTCACATTTAACCCACCCATCCCGAACCCAAACCCATACCCCGCCCCATGACCATACACCTGTGCTTGTGCCTGTACCGCTTGCGCATGCTGCACCTGCGCCTGCGCGTGGCGGACCCTCAGCTCCGCCTGCGCCACCATCGTTCTCGCCTGGTACCACCTCGTGCTCTCCCTCGTATAATCCGCTCTTTTCGACCCAGCTCGCCTGTCATACTCCGCCTGCATCCCGGGCACCTTACACAGCTCCTCGAGGTACTGTAGGTCCGCGTAAATTTCGTTCATCACCTTGTGGTGAGCGCCTTCTTCGGCCTGGCGCGCTGCGAGATCTGCTTGGGCACGCTCGAGTGCGGCTTGGGCGTTACGCAGGAGTTGTGCGTGGAGTGCGCCAAGGCCAGTGGCGGCGGGGGGAGGGGCGACGGGGAGATCGACTTTGATGGCTTCGTCGGTGACGTCGGGATTGTCGCGTTTGTACTCAGCTTGTGCGCGCTCGGCAGCGGTTTTAACCTAGATAGCGAGGTGATTCTCTTTGGAAGGCAGAGGCTGTATGGACTTGTACATACGTCGTCTGCGTGACGCTGTTCAATATTCTCCCACAATAAACATTTGCCCGCATTGGGATTGTTACTTGTGCCAGCTCGTCCGGGCTCCGGCTAGAGAATAAACACCAGGAACATCCAGTCATTGAACAGGAAAATCATGAAAGGAACACACATCAAAGTGGTCATAGCCTTTAATAATCTGGCGGCATATATAACATGACAATGTCATGCAATTGGGGCAAGTCATCTTGTTACACTGCAGACGGAGGTCAGTCGAGTTGGCACTGAGGACCACAACGAACAGCATACCCCAGATTCCTTTATAAAGGCTGAACAACAAAGTCAATATTGTCCAGAGGAGGGAATCAAAAAGTTCACGTTTCTGGCATTTAGGGCAGTTGCGCATCAGCGCTTGGGCTAGATAAGAGTTGAATATTGGGGAGTCAACACCCAAGAAAGCGAAAAGACGCACTCATCGCTTCCTCGACAGCATGTCGCCCGTCCAAATGCTTATCTTCTTCCATCTCTACACCAACTTATCAATCATCACGATCACAACCTAAAACAACCACCATATACCTTGACAACTTTTCGGCAAATGATCCTATACCCCAGGAATGATCGACAATCAATAAGATCTAGAGAAATCATGCAGCAGACGCACCAATCTCTTACACTGCCTACAACTAACCGCCCCACACGCATCCGCATTCCCACATCTCAACAGCTTCTCATCCGAATTTTCAATCACACAGCCCCACTCACAGAACGGGCACTCCTCCAGCCCCTCCAAGCCCGCCGCCTCGACCTCTTTGCGCTGCTTGACACGCTCGTACAATGTCATGAGCTTCTCCGGGAGGAACCTCTTGAGCTCTGAAGGGGGTATAAGGGCCTTGCACCCAGACTGGTCCATGCATTTGATGTTGGGATCGTGTGTGCCGAGGAGGGTGGAGGCGTAGCTGCGCATGCAAGTCATGCAGAAGAGGTGTGTTTCGGGGCATTGAATCATTTTGTCCTGTGGGTGCGAGTTTAGCTTTCTGAAGGAGAATATTCAGAAGAGCAAAAAGGAACGGACGAAACGGTATGTGGAAAAACAGCAACCACACTCAATGCCGTCTTCGCATGCACCATCGTCTTCATCGCCGCCGTCTTCCTCGGCAGCCTTATCACCGCCTTGTAAGTGCTCAAGCAGCCATTTACGTTCTGCCTCGAGCTCCTCGTCCTGCGCCGCTGTGCCTTTACCTTTGGCACGATACGGAGTTGACCGTTTGGTGTATGGGAGGCGAATTCTTTCGCCAGCTTCACGCTGCTGTTCGTGAGATTTTCCCTGCTCGACAAGAAAAAGATGGGCAGGGGCATAGAGACCGTTGTGTGTGGTGAGGATCTGTCGTAGGTAAGGCTTAGGTATAAAGGGAAACGCGGTCTGGAGGTGATCCTAAAAAGAAAGAAAAAGAAGTTGAGAAGAAAGGGGCGGATATGAAGCGCAAACAACATACCAAGGCAAGATCGGTGTAATGTTGACCGCCCTTGAAGGGACGATCTTTGTCGGCATAGTCAACCTTTGATTTCTTTGATGGACTACCTTCTTCACCCTGTTCTGTTTGTTTTCGTTTTCCCTTAGCCACACGATCAACCTTGGGATACTTGCTATCTTCAAAGAGGGCGTGAAGAATAAGTTCAACGACAGTCGCGGTGTTCTGGTCAGGGTGATCGATGATATGTTTCGTCACTGTGGCTAAGAGGTAGTCGGGCTCTACGTCGGGAATAATCTCGAGGACGCGTGCAGTGACAGTAGAATGAGGATCAGGATCTGGCTCGGGTTCATTGACGAGACCAACGACGGGCTCGGGCTGTGGCGGGGCGGGCGTTGGAAGGTCAATTTCGACGGCATCGGGATTAAAGGGGAATGGCGCCGGGGTGGGCGTACAAGCGGCGTGGGCAGTCGGCGGGTTGTTTTCCTCGTCACTCGGCAGGAAAAGAGCGACGGCTCGCGAGGGAGTCGGTTTATTGGGGATGTTCTGAACCGAACTGGACGACCCGAGCTTCTGTGGTCTGCGGCGCGAAGACGGGCCTGCGACGGCGTTTGGCGCGGGTTTGCGGCCGACGCGAACCGCAGGCCGCTCGTCGTCGCTGTCACTCAGCTCGATGACTGGGACGGTTGGGTTCGCCTTGGCTCGCGCGCGGGTTTGGATCGGGACTGGCTCGGGCGAGGACGGAACCTCGATTGCGCCGCTGTTTCGATGCTTTGCCATCGCGAGAAATGAGATTCAGCCACGCCTTTTTATGACTTGCACGTGACATCGGTTCCGCGTCGCGTGTGGCACGTGTCTCTAGAGTTCCTCCCCCATGCCATTACAATGGACGACTCAGCTGCAGACGCAGACGCAAACCCGCAGCCTGGGCCTATCCTTTCCCGCTCCTACTCTACCTTTACCAAGTTCATTCTCTACGAGACCCGTCGAAATTTCTACCTCATCGGCTCTAATGCTGCAGACTCCGGCCACCATATCATCAGAATTAACAGGACGACCCAGGATGAGCTCGACATTATCGAAGATGTAGTAGAATACACCGGAAAGGAGATGAGTGTCGTGCTCAAGATGTTGGATGATGGGAACCGTGCATCGGGTGGGCTGGGGAAAGCAAGGGTGGTTTTTGGACTTGCAGGTATTGAAGCCTTGAGACTTGGATATTTCAAGCATAAACTTCATGTACATCCTCAGGCTTCATTCGATTTACTTCTGGCTGGTACATGATTGTCATATCTAAAAGATCCGTTGTTGCACTTCTGGGTGGCCACTACCTCTACCACTGCGAAAACACCGACATTATACCCGTGTGTTTCAATCACAAAGTCGACAAACCAGCTGAGGAACAACGTCTTATGAACATTTTCAAGCAGGTCGACATGTCAAAGAATTTCTACTTCAGGTCTGTATAATTTCTAACCTTTGCCACAAACCTTCTCAAGCGACTGTAGTTATACCTATGACCTTACCTCTGCCTTACAACACAACCTGACAGGTTCAAGCCGTCCGAACAACAGCCCATGGGCATTTAATGACAGATTTGCCTGGAATTATCATCTCCTTGCTTCTACTTTCGCTGGTCAGGATCGTCCATGTCTCAGCCCACCTTGGCTTCTACCCTTGGTTCATGGACATGTCGACCAAGCCAGTATGCCCTTTCATCCCTTTCTCTGTCCTCTCACCAAGATCATGCGCCACAGAACTAACAGTCTTGGGCCGCGTCGTTTTCGTGACCCTAATCGCCCGGCGCTCCCGACATTTCGCAGGCGCTCGATACCTCAAACGCGGTGCCAACGCCGAGGTTAGCCTCCAACACTAAATGTAACTACAGTTTCAATAATCCATTTGCAGGGCAACGTAGCAAACGAAGTTGAAACGGAGCAAATCGTCTCCGAAGCACTAACAACACCCTTCTACTATCCCGCGGCGCGCGACCGATCCGGCAGACACACCGACCGCCGCCCAAGTCCGAACTATACCAGTTACGTCCAAGTAAGCTGTCCCATTATCCTCAACTTGATTATCCGATTCTCACAACGACAACACCAGTACCGAGGCAGCATCCCTATCTACTGGGCCCAAGAAACAACCAGCA